CTCTAAAAATTTAACCAAATAAAGTTCATTTAGTATACTATAATATGAATCAAAAATCTCATTTTTTGTTGAAAGGTTCCCAAAACTTATTTTTAATAGCAAAGCTCCCAAATTGTTTAAACAGAATTTGTTTAACAAAAACTGAAATAAATTGTTTAATGAAAAATATAATGAATTGTTTAAACAGAATTCATTTAATGAAAAATATAACTAATCGTTTAAACAGAATTCATTTAATGAAAACTGAAATAAATTGTTTATATGAATCATATTACAGATTTGTTAACAAATCATTTAATGGAATTCATTTAACGAAATCTATAATGAATCGTTAAACAGAATTCGTTTAACGAAAACTGTAATGAATTATTATACAGATTCATTAACGAAAACCTGAAATAAATCGTTAGCCAGATTCGTTTAATGAAATCTATAACGAATTGAATGAATTGTTAAACAAATTGTATTACAGATTCATTACCAAATCGTTATAACAAATTTTGTAATAAATTGTCATATCAAACTGTTAATGAATTTCATTACGGATTGTTAACAAATCTTGTTAATGAAACTTGTTAGTGAATTGTTACCAATCAATAAATTCTAATTGAATAATAATCATCAATCAAGTATTAAACTGATTGATAACTAATTATTAATTGAATCTGATTTGTTACTATTTAACATATAGTTATAAATTTTTTAAAATAAGTATAAAATCAGATTGAAAACTGATTTATGTAATTCTACTTAATAATTATGATTATAGTATTAACCGATTCATACCCGATTGTAGTATCTACTGATTTCTATTTATTGATTACTGATCAAAAAATAGTGACTAATCAGAAAGATACTTGATTGATCAGCATTCAACCTATGGAAGAAATTGATTAGGATTAAACAAAATCGAAATTATGTATAAATTAGCAGCTTATTATTATATACATGCAAAACAAGAATTGCCATATTATGATGCAGATAAAACAATTGATGAAATTTATAATACCTTAATTAATGCATATTTAAATTCAGATAAAGAACTTAAATGAATTTTCTAATGATTTTCAAGATATTAATAATGAAGAAATAGTACTATTTAATAAAAGGAAGGATGATTTAATAATTGATAATATGTTGAAATTAGATGTATTTATTGAAAATTTAGATGAAATTATTGAAGATAATATAGAAGAAGAAGTATATAATAAATCAAATAATTAGAGTGATTTAAGAAAGTAATATTGAGTGGGATCCAAATACTAAAGTTGACAAAATAGTTAATTTTATATAAAAAATAGTTTACATAAAGGTTCAATTGGATAGTTAACAAGATAACATGCAAAATTGGATTAGAGTAAATGGATTACGAGTAAATATATAATAATTACATAGCATAGTTCAATGTAATTATGGTTACAAATTGCAATAAGAAAATTCTGCATAAATTTGAACACAAACTTGACATTGTTAATGTCTTTTATGTGTTTATAACCAATTTATCAGAAAATAAATTTTATATAATAAATGCTATTTTGATTAGAATAAATTTTATTGATTAAGATATCATATAATTTATAGCAGTTTCAAAGATTTCAGAAATATTAGAATATTAGAAGTTTTGTCAAGTTTTGAAAACCTGAGCTCTAATAATTCTTGAGTATGTTCTGTAGGTAAAGAGTGAATGTCTATAGCAGATGTACTCGTACAGATTGGGATGATAAAATATCTTCCATGGTATTTATTTGTCATATTATTATCATGCATGATACTACCAATCTCCCTTAGCATGAATTTAAAGAAATTACGAAAATCTATATCTGATAGTTTTTAGTATTGTTGGGCATTATTAATGTACAGCTGATACTCGTCAAAATGAATTATGATGGCTTGAACACTTTTAGGGCGGCATTTAAGAATCTTATAAATCACGTCAGGAAGGCAAAAAAGCTTAACATTTGTTTCTGACAAATCGGATAGATCTTTAGATACCAATCCTGAAGCTTCTGCCATACGCGCTGCAATTTGAACACTTGAAATTACCTTATCATCAAAACTATTAATATACTTGCTCCATTATTCAGGTCAATAAAGAAGTAACAGGGATCTTACAGAGCTTCCATAAACTCAATATTATCACTTTGTCACTTTTTGGGATCAGATATTTTAATTCCCAACCTGTCTGTATAATCCCTATTCCTATTCCTCTAGGAATTAGGATAAATCTATTATCTTTGTGGTCAGGACTTTTATGACCTTGGTAGTTAAAATGAGCAACTTTCAACAATGAATTTAGAGCTTGATCATGATCATTAAACTTGTGAAAAGGAACTTTTATGACAGGAGATTGTAATAGTGACAAAGTAAGAAGAGAAGCTAAGGTTTTCGCTAAAAATGGAAGTGAATTTCAAAATAAGAAAATGATTATTAGTCAACATCACAACAGTATATATTACACATGTACGTATTCGTTTCTGTTTTTTTGGATTCCGCTTTCTTCATCTGTGTCTCTGTGTCTTCTTTTCTCTAATCAAATAAAAAAATATAAGATGTGAGATAGAACAAATTTCTTGTTCAATAGGTAAACCATTGGAAGACTCTTACTAGTGGTGGCGGGTGGTGGCAGTTGCACGATTATATGGATGTGCTCCTTAAGAAGATTCAACAATACTCCAAGATCCCCACCTCCTATTTCTTTAACAATTTCCACACAAGGATTCTTTTTAAGTTTATCATATTTGCCGTTTTTTTCTCTGGTAGATATGCTAACTTTCCACAGCGTCAGATCATTGGCATCAACAACTTCGCCAAAGGAATGCGATTTTTTTTATTAAATATTAGTCTTTTGAGATGGCCAATGGTGAGCTCATCATCAGAGATTAGAGGACAATTAACATCAATAGAGTTTGTTTTGCCAATATCAACCGGGAAAGAACTCGTAAGAGGATTCACTAGAATGATACAAAATAACGAAAATAATGACATTTCGAAAATATGTCTGCAAACGGTACAAGAAAGTAAGTAAGTGAGAAAGAGTTTTGAAAGGGTTCTCAAACGCGTTATATACAACCGATAACGATATGTCACACGTCATCATATCATACCTTTTCCATGATGATCATTCGCCAGATCATTTTCATCAAATTATTTGATCGAAACATTTCTATTACCCTTAAATAATATATATATAAAAAAAAAAAAGTAAATGACCTCATCACTGACATACACTATTTGTACTCATAATCCAGTTGATGATCAGCCCTTTTGCCAAATTAACGTATGCAGATCCACCTTTAATTTTTTCTATTTTTACTATCATGCCAAAGGGCTGCCGTTTTGATTTTTTTTTTTTTATATATAAACTTTTTTTAGTTAACCTTTTTTTTTTATTAATAATTTAGATCCCATATCTTTTTTTTTTCCAAAGATAAAAAAAAATTTTTATTTTTTAATGATTATATGTTCATATTTGTTTTAATTAATTTTCGAGTTTTGTTATTTATATTATTATAAAATAAAAATTACTAGCTAGAATGAGGGTCGCATATTTTTAATTTGACATAGATGTTGGTGTTGGCATAGGTTTTGGTGTTGGTATTGGTGTTGGCGTATTAATATTGGTATTGGTATTGGCATTGGTGTTGAAATGCGAAGCCATTTTTTTTATTTAACAGTAAAATAAGCAATAATTGAACGTCACGAAGGTCGGGGGCGTCAATTATTGCACTAATTTTGAATTTAAAAATTAAATGTATAAAATTTACTGATTTATACAATAAAATCCTCGAAGCAGTATATTTGGGTTGCATTATACGTTTGTTCGACTTATGGATCATTCAATAAACAGACATTAAAAAAAAATATAGCGTTATATTCCGTGGATAAAATACTGGCTAGTTGAAATTAAAACGTAAGATTTCTCACGTATAACTCTGAAGAAATTAAAAAGTCGACTTATTTTTATTATTTCAGATATTTTTTTTTAACACTAATATAGAGAAAACCTTTATAGTAGTAATGAAAAAACATATATCTCAAATAAAGATGTTTTCCTAAATTATTTTTAGGCAATTTAAATGTTTTACTATTTGTTTATAATAAAGTTTATCATTTTAAAGGTTTCGATTTCGAATAGTATCATTAATAGGAAGTTCATGATTTAAAATAAAGTATATAAAATTTTCTGCATTTAACATAAAAATAAAAGTTATTTCAACTTCCAATATAGAGCTATTACAATTGGGAGCACCCGTATAAAGTTTAATCGTTTCGAAGTTTCACATGTGTTACATTTAGAAGTTCAAAAATACAACAAAATTCGTAGATCATCATCATGTGACGTTCCATATAATTTCACCTTTTCCTTCTATTTTCCTTTCTTGTTTTTTTCTCTTTCTAGCTTTAATTCCCCAAAGACAGGATCCTACGGAAAAGCAGTAAGCATTCATACATTACTTTTTATTACAACTTTCTTCTTACACTCAAAATATCTAAAGTACTGCATGTGCTTTTGTTCAAAGACCAAATGCCTGGCGAAGCTTCGAATAACAATTTCAATGTTTCTCTACAAGCTCACGTGTATGAGGGATATGTTGAAATTAAGAATGTCGTAAGTATTTTTTTTTCCTTTACTTCGACGAATATTAAGCTTTAATTAACTCTTTGCATCTATTGTTTCTTGTAAATTCGCTTATACTTTTTGAATGGCTACAAAATTTATTTTTTAGGACGGAACGGTCGACGTAACTCCAGACAAATATTCTTGGTATAAAGGTAAGCATTTGTAGAAGAATTTTTTAAATTTTCACGTGACTTAAGTTTAATTATGTTTTCAGGTGACGTAGTACTTGAATATGTTGACCATCGATCGCAGCCTATTTGCTCGGGCAAAAGAATCTGCTTAAAACAAAATAGGGCGTCCCTCTGGGACGACATGTTGAGAATGAACCAGGGGGAAGGAGGTACCTGGAAACAAGAAGATGCGATCAAAACGGAGTCTAAATTGTTGGTAAATATAAATTTCAATGATGAATAAAATTCGTTCGTAGTAAATATTATAATATTCGTTATTTACTTTTTACTATAGTTAGCCTTGTACCCTGTAGTAGATTTGGATCCAAATTCGACATTACAGTGCATGAAAAGATATGATCCCGCGGATGGACCGGTGGAAGAAGTTCATCGTGAGCTTAAAACGAAGAAGCGAAAGTTAAATTCGTACGAGCTCGAGCAAGAGGCGGCTAAAAAGGCCAGAAAAGAACAGATGATGTTTATGTTGGACGAGGTGACTTTTCTTTTTTAAATCGAACGTTTGATCATCTTTTTTGTTCGTCTGTATAATATAAATGATGTAACTATTATTGTCTTTAGCGGCACGGAAAAGAGTTTAAGCCCACATTTAAGCTTCTTTCTTACTTCAAGAGGAATGGGGTAACTAACGTAACTTCCTCTATTGGTAAAGTTGAAATGGCTGAATCAGGTATATATATTTATTTATTTATTTATTTTGATTTACTTTTAGCTAAATAATATAACGTATGAAAAATAACTATTTTCATTTAATTTACATGAATATAGGCCGAGGGTCGTCTAAAAAGTCCGGTCAACTATTCGTTCGAAAGCTAAGGTTTGAACGGAACTTTACTGATGAGAACGGTAATTTGCTTTTTACATTTGATTATTTTTAATGATTCAACATTTTATTTATATCATTTTTCGTTTAGATGGTAAACAATATAAGATTTATACATTACTTAACATATACCAAGATGTAAATGGAAGGCATGAGGCAATTTGTCACTCTCTAAGTGAGAAATATCTTCAAGCTAAGGGATTTAATACAGTTGATGACAATGTATGTAATTTGGAATTAGATGACAATAGAGCTACATTTAGGTATGATGATTATTTAGAATTATAGATTTAAAATGTGAACTTTTTATTAAACATTCGTTATTAAAAAAAAAAATTTAGAACCGAGCTAGGGGATGCTGCGGCTTACGAGGCTTTTTTAAAAGCATTCGTCGTTCTATATTCGATCGACAATTGTTTGAAATACGACTCTGAAGGTGTCGATAAAGTTCCGGTCGAAATGTTGACTGAAGTTACAACCGAATTGACAAATAAGCAAATGGAGATGAAATTTGATAATATGCAACCCTACGAAATCCTCGAATTTTTAACTCGTCAATCAGATGGTGAGAATATAACGAGCTCTATAGAAGAAGCAAAGAGCTTATCCGTTTCCGACCTTTACAATTCTGCAGCAAAAAAAAAGGCTATGCAAGAAAAGCCATCAGCAAGTTCATCAGTGAATCAAGATCCAAAACCACCGACAAGACGAAACTCCAAAAATGGTAAAATTAGTACGAAAACTCAAGCTCAAGATCCAGCTTCTGTACAGAGTCAAAATGTTGTTAATCCACAGATGGCTTCACAAATGAATCAAAAACTTCAGATACAACATCATCAGACTATGACATCATCGCAGCCTATGGACCAACAACCGACACATAGTCCTGTTATCCAACACAATATTCCGGTTAAAGTGCCACAGACGACATCCAATGGAACTCATCCAGTTCTTCAACAAATTCCCATTTCGACGATTGCACCACAAAATACTATAATACAAGTTCCCATCCAACTTCCAAACAATCAAAATGGATTGAATTTTTTACAGAGACCAAATCTTATGGGTGGACGACCCAACACTCAAGGACTTTCTAACGTCCGAATAGTTACTCAACAAGGAATAAATGCCACTCAAGTAAATTCTATTGCAAATCAGCAAGGAGAATTAACTCAAAATGCGATTGTATCAATGCCTAATATTAGGCAAGGTGTTGGGAGAAGAACAACACAAGATCAGACACAAATTATTCCAATGCGAATGAGTAATATCCCGACGCAGCAAATGAATAATATCTCGACGCAGCAAATGCATACACAGCAAATGAGTATCTCGGCGCAGCAAATGAATAATATTCCGACGCAAATGATTCCGAATATTCCGACGCAGCAAATAAATATTCCAACGCAACCGATTACACAAGTGCACATTCCAACTCAAACAAGTTCTTCTCAGATGAGTCAAATACCGATGGCTTCACAGATCAATATTCCAAATGATCATTTAAATAGAACATCGCCTCTAAATATACAAAGTAAAATGAATCAAACTCACATTCCCACACAAGTATCTGATCAAATCATAAATCCCGTACGGGTTACTCAGATGAGTCAAGCGCAGTCGAAATCTCAAATCAACATTTCCGCACAAGTGGACGATCAGGTCAACATTTCGGCGGTATCACCACACATTAATCCTGCACGAGGCCTGCAGGTCAATACCACTGATCAGATGATTCATCAGATGAATCAGAATTCTCAAATGAACCTTCAGATACAATCGAATGACCAGAATGTTTCTGCACAAGGAACAACTCGACTAAATCCACAGCGGGCATTCCAACAGATTCAACTCGCTCCACAAAATACAAATCCGCCTCACCAATTCCTGTTTAGTTCTCAAATTGCACAACGTACTCATGGCAGAATTATAAATCAAGGAATGATAAACATGCAAGGGATGATGCAACAACCATTTATACAAACGGGGCAATTGTTACCAAATGCATACGTGATACCAAATCCAGGAGTTCCTCCTCATATGTTACAAAGACGAATGCGGTCACAAATGTTCTTACCACGGCAAATGACAAATATGTCGACGCAAATGATTCCACAGCAACAACAAATGGCCATGAATCAACATTTAGGACCATGGTTCTTCCAAAATCAACCACCACAAAACCCTCAAAACCCATGGGGTGGCAACAATGCTGGTGGTTAATAATAGAATATAATTGAATTAATTATATTAATTATTGAAATAATGTATAATGTAATTTATTAACCGTTGCATATTAAAATGGGTATGGATATTATTAATACAATAATTTAAATAAATAAAAGTAAATGCATTTCTATTTTCTAATACCATGATTGCTTCAAATTCTATCATGATGACTTTAAAACGATCAATATTATTTTCTTCCTTTTATTGTCTTTTATAATTTTTAATTACAACTTATTTATTTGGCACATGCAGAATTCTCTTTAATGAGTAAGTTGTATTATATAAAATTTGTTCTCTCGACCTTGGAAATTGGAAATTTAGTTGGTTGTAAAATTACGAAATGCAATTATGAAATAGGTTACGTGAAGGTGAAATTAGTGCAAGAAGTATTTATTTTTACTAAACTAGCCAGTATTTTTTTTCCAGTATCCACGGTTGAAGGTAGTAATTACGCAACCATTCATCCAATCAAATGATATATCAGATCGGTTGATGATTTGATATGATGTATGATATACAGTAATAGAAAGCATGACACAATAAGGTTAATATTGTGATCATGAATTTTATCAAATAACGAAAATATCCTGATTGACCTTTAAAAATCATCCATTCTATTTTTATAAAAAGTTAAATAATTCTAAAATGAAAAATGAGAATTAATTGATGTATTAATCTATTATTTTTATTAAAAAAAAATTTAACTGAGTATAATTGAAGGTTTTTAGAATATCATATTTCATAAATAAATCACTTGAGATCATTTATTTTTGAACAATTATTAAATAAAAAATAAAGATTTTTATTGCATTTGATAAGTGACATAGATGATTTATAGATAAATAATAATAAATAAATGAAATAATTAATAATATTAATAATAAAAAAATGATTAAAAGATCATGTGGATAGGAAAGTAACCTTTGATATTCAGAAATAACATTTTGATCAATCATAAATGCTGATGCATCAAGATGAGAGATCTCAATATTATTTCAATTAGAACATCTGATAAAAGCAACGTAGGCTTAACCGGATGTAAAAATATTTCCATCTAAAGCAAGAAAACCTTTAGTAAAGTCAAGCTTTAGGTTTTGTGTACAGTAAGTATAAAGAAATTTTGTAAGGAAAATTGAGTGTGATGACAATTAGTTTTATTAATTTGAAAATAATGAATATTTTCATAAATTTCACATTAATTATTAAGTCACAGACAGAGAAAATGACATGAATAGATCGATTTATTAGGCTCATATCAGTTAACATATGCCTTAATAAATGAGAGAATTGTTGAGATACATAACGCGTGCATCTAGTTAGAAATAAATGAATAAAGGAGATTTGTTTTGAATTTAAACATATGATTTGAATAAGATGAGTCACATAGGATTGAGTTTATGACATTTGTAACATATGAGTTTAAGAATTTATTATCAGGAACAGAAAGATAATTGCATATCATACAATTAATATTTTGTGCATTTCTTTAAAACCCACAATATGCATAGTATTTAATAAGTGTCAATTAAAGAGTTTGTTAAGAATTCTAAATAATGATATTGTATCTTATTTCACAATTCTATAGATATATTTTCCATTTGTACTTCTTCTAACAGTTAATAGAATTTCATATCATTATTTTGACGTTAAGATGTTTTTAAAAATAATAGGTAAAATAATTTTCAGATAGCCACATGAAATACTAGTTAATTAATAATTGGTGATACAGAAGGTTATCAAAGTTTTTGAACACTAAGTTTGACATCGTATATCTCAAGTTGCACTGATCAGAATTAGTTTAAAATTTCAAATTTCATATAATCTTGATACAATCTCAATCTATAATATATTAAAATTTTATTTAATTTGAATCGGTGGAAGCTGAGATATGTATGTAAATGTAAATTCATAAATATTTTAATTATATAAAAATTTTGAATACTAAAATTTAACATCATATATCGCAAGATTCACTAATTAGAATTAGTTATAATTTTCATATATATATGACATAATCTTGAACTATAATATTTCAAATTTTCATTTAATTTGAATTACTAGAAGCTGAGATATAACAAAATATAAATAATTTTAATTGTAAATTTTAGTTAAAGATTTTAAATATATTTTTTAAATATCTAATGATTCAAATTAAA